TTATCGATTACATTGTTACGCCAGTAGGTGGCAAAAAGGGGCTGTTAAAATGTTTTGAATCATTCAAGAGATTCGTTCACAAATGCTGATTCATCCAGTAATGAAACAAGTACATTTTAGTCAGCTGAGTCATTGAATCATTCATTCATAAATTACATGTGATTTTGTTTAGTTGTCTAATGTTTTTCTTTAGAATCTTGAGAGAACCAGAGTCTCCATTAAAAAACACACTCAGTTTATCCAGAATCATGCAGCTCTTAAATGAGTCCAGTTTTTATGTGGCCTGCTGATTTTTATTTATGGTATTCAGCTGCAACTAAATGTTTTGCAATAATGAGACACAGAATAAATATGTTTGATATATTTTTTTTAATCACATTGGAATCAAACCTGGGAATCGAAAAGAATCGGAATCGATACGCAGAATCGGAATTGGAATTGATAAAATTCAAATGAGACCCAACCCTTAAAACATTATTACTTGTAATCCATAGCCTCCCATTGACTTGCATATGAACCACCAGGGCCCATGGATTCAGCTAAAAATTATCTTCTGCTTATAATGTTCTGCTGAAGAAAGTAAGTCACCTTCATTTTAGATGGCCTGAGGTAAATTAACAGCAAATTTTAATATTTGGGTGAACTATTCCTTTAAAAAATTGGGAAGCATTTCTTCTTCCATTTAATAAGATGTTAAGCCCAAGTCTCTTTCTATACATGCTAACTATTCACAATAAAATTATTGGTTGCATTTTATTGTTTGCATTTAGCATTGTATTTTCCTTGTTGTCTGTGACCTGCAAAACATTTCTGTGTCACGGGCCACCAGTTCAAGCACCAACCACTGTTTTAAATGCTTTACAACTGCTCGGAGCACAAAGACTCAGTGTTCCATAATGTGATCTCACCCAACAATTTGCATTAACTATATAGGTGTATATTTCCTGAACACTGGCATTTTGGTGCATTTGTACCAACAGACTATTTTAAGCTGCTTCCATAATCTCAGTTATGCGCTTCCAGAGGAGTGTATATATCAGGCTGCCTGTGGTCTAACCTATTTGAGCTGAATCTGCCAGGCGCCATACTTTACCTTTACGACTTCAGTCCAGGCAACAGCAGTCTGGACAAACATTACCTCAACACTCCTCCCCAACATGACCCCAAACTCACATCTATTTTTCTCTCCTCACAGTCGCCCCCAAATCTTCCCATCAGGCCATGAGTGTGTGCAAAAAGCGTGTGCATGTATGTGTGTGTTAGTGTGGGACACCCAGTATGAATGGCAGGTGAATACTAAGTGCAATATGATTGAAAAGGCAATGCTTGAACAATAAAAGAGAACGCTCTGGCCTTCAAGTCCCACCTTCATCCATCTGATGCATGCCGATTCATCAGCCTTGCTCTCTTACCTCACGCTGTTGTTCAGCGATGCTTTAGCACATGTTTATTCACTTGTTTTTATGGACCGAAACAAGTCATTATCATCCTCTTTTCAATTACCTGAGCCCTGCTGGTGAAATGACCTCTTGAAGCTCTTTGTTGTTCAATAGTCCATTCTAGAGCAGAGTGATACGTTCCCTGAGGCCTGTCTAATGGCCGTAAAGGTAGTATCCAAAATGGTGTTAAAAAATATTCATAGGGAAGCCCAAAGAAGCTGTTTGAGTAGATTGTTAATGGATGACATGGTTTAGCATCATTCTCTCGATTTTTAGAGCTTGTAGGATAAGTCAGCTTTAAGATGTAAGGTATGATACCATGCTAATACAATTTTTTTGTGTGTTTTTTTGTCCCTGAAGTACCACATAAAGTGAGATACGATATGGGGTCTCCAAATGAGTACATGTACAGTAAATGAACATACTTTCCAGAAGGCCAACAATTCACTAAAAATTAATTTTTTATTGGTCTTATGAAGTATTCTAATTTGTTTTAGTTTGTTGAAGTATTAAAATAACTAAAATTAAATAAAACTAAAAACTAGGGATGCACCGATGCCACTTTTTCCAGTACTCTCCCGATACGATACTTTTATTTTTGGTACTTGCCGATACCGAGTACCGATACCGATATTTTTATTGCATTTG